CATGGGACTCAAGTGCACAGCTGGCCATATCATTTTTTATATGGTTCCTGGGGATTGGACTCCGCTTACCTGTCCAGCAGCTTAGTAAGCAAGTTACAACTGCTGGCACCTTGTCTCCTGACTCATGTGTTCTGAGCTTACTCTTTCAGAAGGTATTTATGAGGAGGCAGATGTCCTCACAGTCTCACCGTCTAGTGATTGATAAAGTCACACATTACAGTCAGGGAGACATGGCCATGGCGGGGGAGGCGGCTTGCTGGGGAAAGTTCTTGCTGCACAGACATGAAGACATGAATTTTTTTTGGACCCTTGAACCGACCAGAAGCCACATTTCATAGCAGTGTGTGTGCGGGGGCAGTAGTGTTCATGTGGATACCAGGAACTCACTGGCCAGCAATTCTAGCCAAAAAGGTGAACCCCAGGTTCAGTAGAAGACTGAGTCTTGGGGCTGGATAGAAGGCTCAGGGGTTAAGAGCACTACCTCTCGTTCCAGAGGTTCTGCGTTTGATTCCCAGCAACCACATGGTGGCTCACAATCATCTGTAATGAAGTCTGGTACCCTCTTCTCACCTGCAGGCAGAACTCTGTATACATAATAAATAAATCTTAAAAAAGAGCATATATTTTTTAAAAAAAGGAAGAAGATGCAGTCTCAAACTATAAGGCAGAGATGGAAGAAGACAACCACCATCACTCTGGCCCCTACACTGGTCCACATTGTGTGGCACACATACTCCAATAGGGGAGGTCTGTGATGCTGGTGACCTATGAAACACAGTCTACTGCATTTTAGAGAACAAAGAATAGCCACACAAGAATAAGAATTTTGGCTTGCTGTCATACACATCTGTAACCCCAGAATTCACTGGGAAGGCAGAGGCATGAGGGCCTACACAGACAGTTCACATTTCAGGTACCCAGGGTTACACAGTGAGAGCTTGTCTCAGCAACAACAGAACTGACATCCAAAGGATGAGTAGGAATATATGGAGCAGGGAAGGAGTACAAGTTGGAAGTTGGAAAGAGAGTTCTAGGCAAAGGGGCCAGAAGTGTGAAGGCTTAGCCCAGAAGAAGAGGCAGTAGGAAGACTCCCACAGTGTACACTGGAGGAAGCTAAAATAGCAGCTGGAGAGATGGCTCGGAGGTTAACAGCTCCGACTGCTCTTCCAGAGGTCCTGAGTTCAATTCCCAGCAACCACATGGTGGCTCACAACCATCCGTTATGAGATCTAGTGCCCTCTTCTCGTGTGCAGGTATACATGGAAGCAGAATGTTGTGTACATAATAAATAAACAAAATCTCAAAAAAAATTGAGATAAGTTCTCACTATCATTATGTAGCCCTGACTGGCCTAGAACTTACTATGTATACCAGGCTGGTCTTGAACTCACAGAGCTCCTCTGCCTCTCCAGTGCTGGGTCTAAAGGTGTGTGCCAGCACAGCCAGCTATGGTGCAGTTTTTGGTTGATGGTTGATAAGGGAGGACCCAGTTCACTTTGAGCACCTGGGCTGGTGGCTCTGGTGCTGTAACAAAATGGCAATGACGGTGTATGCCTTTAATCCCAGCACTCGGCAGACAACTCTTTGTACGTTCAAGGCTAGCTCGGTCTACAGAGCAAGTTCCAGGACAGCCAGGACTACACAGAGAGACCTTGTCTCAAAAAAAACTAAAACTAGCTAACTAACTAACTAAATAAATAAATAAAACTGAAAAAACATAACGATTTGTGTCTGTGTGTGCCCACAGTAGGTTTGGGATCGTGCGCATGCAGGGTCCAGAAGAAAGCATTAGAATCCCTGGAGCTGGAGTTAGAGGTAGTTTTTCTTTTTAATTTTATTTATTATGTATATAGTTATCTGGATGCATGCTTACACACCAGAAGAGGGCACCAGATCTCATTACAGATAGTTGTGAGCCACCATGTGGTTGCTGGGAATTGAACTTAAGACCTCTGGAAGAGCAGTCAGTGCTCTTAACCCCTGAGCCATCTCTCCAGCCCAGTAGTTGTTTTTCAAGACAGGGTTTCACTATGTAGCCCTGACTGCCCTGCAACTCACTCTATAGGCCAGACTGGCCTGGAACTCAGAGATCCACCTGCCTCTGCCTCCTGAGTGCTACTGGAATTAAAGGAGTGTACCTTTAAATAAGACAGAGTTTCTTTGTGTAGCCTTAGCTGTCCTAGTAACTACCTCTGTAGACTAGGCTGTCCTTGAACTCACAGAGACCTGTCTGCCTTTGCTTCCCAAGTGCGGGATTAAAGGCGTGTGCCACTATTGTCTGGCCCACCTCTAGAATCTTAATAGCAGATACTCTTTGTCTCGCTGGAGACTGGACATTTCTTAGACATTCTAACAGGGGCTCTGCTCTGTACCTGGTCCCCTAGTGTTTCAGTTCGATGCTGACACCTACTGGTTACATGTATCTCAGCAGCCTTAACTTGGATCCGCACCTGCCTCAGGCCAGTACTGGCAGCCGGGACAGTCTGCCAAGCATACCTGCCCAGGCCTGAAGGTGCTTGGGATGATGCAGTTCTACCGCGCCACTGGATGGTCTTAGTGCTTCCCTCACCCACACAATTCTGCATCCTTTTCGACACCACAAGAATATTAGGCAGCAAGAAAGAAGAAGGCAGTTTCAGTGGAGAGTGTAGTCAGTCCTTCTCACCTCGGAGTTGGTGCTTCCTACAGAACTCCATTCCTTTTGACCTTTGTCTTATTTCTAGGTTGCTCTTGGGACACAGACAGACAGGCCTTCTTGGTGGCAGTAGTGATGAACCGGAGGTTGAGAGTAGGTAGGCGGGGCTTGGGGTGGGGCTAGACCAAAGGGCCTCTTACTTTGGAGCTTCTCCATTCTGTTAGCTCACAGGAACATCTAAGGCAAGACTGGCACCCAGCACTCAGCACCCAGCACTCAGCACCCAGCACCCAGAACCCAGCAGGTGAGAGACTAGCTATGACATGAGGTCGGGCAGGTTTTGGGGTGACAGTGACAGGATATTCCTACCTATTTACCCTTACTTTTCTCTCCGTATTGTGAAACTCTCACTTGTTGAATTCTTAGGTCTCCATGAGAACCATTTTAGTGGATGGATGGGGCAAGGCAGCCCTCATCAAGCCCTCAGCTTGAGATGAGGGCTGAGGGACTGAGGTACCCACTGGCATATGACAGAACTTCTGAGATGTATCGTAGGACACAGCAGTACAGTGGTGTGAAGTGAAAGCTTAGCTAGGCTAGAGGTCCATGGAGACGACAGAGACCAGAAAAAGATGGCAAGTGACAGAGCTCGAGAGGCCTGGGAACCTGACTTGAGATGGTAACAGGGGCAATGGAGAGCCAGGAAGGCAGGAAGAAGGCAGGCTCAGATGGAGCAATCACCCCCACTGTAGAGGACAGTCCAACCAAGCCCAGGGCAAGCCAGTAACAAATCAAGGTTGCAGGTTCCTAGTGGAGTGATTCAGCTGGGGGAGAAAGCCCCCTGGCTATCCTCCCTCTGCCTCTTCAGACTCCCATTTTCATTTGGGGGAGAGGGTGAGGTTGCTCCTCATTGCGGTCAGACCCACATCCTGCACGGGAGGGGGAAGTAAGAAGCAAAACAAGCAGAAGAAGTGCAGCAGAGGACCAATGTGAGAGGGCCCTGGACTCAGGCACAGGACACACCACCAAGAGGGACTTGGCTCAGATCCCACGGCTGCTGTCCCAGCCTTCCTCGGAGGACTGTGACCTCATTGGTATCACTCCTTGTTAGGAAGGGGTTTGGGGGGATTACCTAACTTGTAGCCTAGTATTTTTTTTTTTTTTTTTACAATTTGTTTCTGTCATTTTAAATGATGTATGTGTGTGTGTGGCTATGGAGGCCAGAGGTGTTAGATTCCCCCTGAGGCTAGAGTTATAGGCGATGGTGAGTTGTGAGTCAAGCCACCTCTCCAGCTCCTTGACGCCTGTTTTTATCATTTACTAAGACAAGTAGCTTAAATTCTCTTAGTCTTGCCGGGTGGTGGTGGCGCACACCTTGAATCCTAGCACTTGGGAGGCAGAGGCAGGCCTGTTCTACTGAGTGAGTTTCAGGACAGCCAAGACTACACAAAGAAACACTGTCTCAGAAACAACAACAACAAAAAAGTTCTCGGGCTGGAGACATGGCTCATAGGTTAAGAGCACTGACTGCTCTTCCAGAGGCCCTGAGTTTAATTCCCAGCAACCACACGGTGGCTCACAACCATCCCTTATGAGATCTGGTGCCCTCTTCTGGTGTGCAGATATACATGGAAGCAGAATGTTCCATACATAATAAATAAATAAATAAATAAAATCTTTAAAAAAAAAAGTTCTCTTTGCCTGGAGATTTCTCATTGTAAAATATGATTATTGCCCTTTTGGAGTTGGAAAACTGAGGGAGTTCAGAGACACACACAGTAGGTCTCTGAAAATGCCAAGTGCTATTTATTTATTTGTTTGTTTCAAGACAAGTTCTCTCTGTGTAGTTCTGGCTGTCCTGAAACTCACGCTGTAGACCAGGCTGGCCTTGAACTCACAGGTGATGGGACTAAAGGTGTGCAATACCACCACCCAGTGCCAAATGTTCTTATTAGGATTCTGGAGACCCAGCTACCTCTCACTTCTAAAGCTATATTGTACTCCAACTGACATGGGCTTTTGATCTCAAGCCTAGAACCATGAGGGTAATGCCTATGTTTCTTGTTGCAGAATATACAGTTAAGTATCCAAAACTGGTATCTGTTTGATTCCTGCCAAATGGCTCTAGGCTCTCCATCGTGGCAGGAGTTTTCTGCTCTAAGACTCCAGTTACACTCCAGCCACGGCTCTCCCCTGTTCCTCTGTGCTGTTTAGAAACACATGTCTTAGTTTCCAGCAATAAAGGGAAAAAGCAGAAGCAAGGCTTACAGGATGGAGGGGGCCCAGGGGAGAGGGGAGGACAAAGCAGCCAAAGCATGAAAATGGGGAAAAGCCATTTCTCTCTTTCTCTAAGGAAGCCTGTGGCCTCTTCCAGTGACTGACTGACCACATACCCACCCCAAGTACCATGGAGTCCTTCAGCTCAAAGAGTCTGGCGCTACAAGCGGAGAAGAAGCTACTGAGTAAAATGGCTGGTCGGTCCGTGGCTCATCTCTTTATCGATGAGACCAGCAGCGAGGTGTTAGATGAGCTTTACCGTGTGTCCAAGGAGTACACGCACAACCGGACCAAGGCACAGCGGGTGATCAAAGACCTGATCAAGGTGGCGGTCAAGGTGGCTGTGCTGCACCGCAGTGGCTGCTTTGGTCCTGGGGAGCTGGCTCTGGCTACACGGTTTCGCCAGAAGCTACGGCAGGGCGCTATGACAGCACTTAGCTTTGGTGAGGTGGACTTCACTTTTGAGGCTGCTGTGCTCGCAGGCCTGCTCATCGAGTGCCGGGACATTCTTTTGGAGCTGGTAGAGCACCACCTCACACCCAAGTCACATGACCGCATCAGACACGTGTTTGATCACTACTCTGATCCGGACCTGCTGGCTGCCCTCTACGGGCCCGACTTCACTCAGCACCTTAGCAAGATTTGTGAGGGGCTCCGGAAGCTGCTCGATGAGGGGAAGCTCTGAGGCCCCTGGGTCCAGCACATTGGACTTTGGCAAAATGACTGACCGGGCTTTCTAACTCTGCACAAATGCTTGTCAATCCCCTGGCTTCATTCTCTCCCAAGAGTGTTGCTGACACCAAGGCAATCCCCACCCCCAAAGTGCTGGGAGCAAAGCTATGCTGAGCTCAGTGAGGCGGCTCTCCCATCCAGTGTCAGCAAAGGAAACAGCTGATTGAGGAAGATGAAGTGAAACTCGGATCTGCTTCGTCCGGGAGAACTGCCCCCAAACCCAAGGATGGGGGCACTGAGGGCCAGAGGCAGGAAGGTGGCTATCAGAGTCCTCCTAGATCTCCAAGAGCTAGAGGCAGCACCTGAACACATACCAGAGGCTGTGTTCCAGAGTTTCTAGGAGCTGGGGGAGGGGAGCACAGGGGAAATAAAACCACTAAAACATGCACAGGGCTCACTGTTTAATCTCTAGCTCCGTACTCAGACTTGACGATGTACAAGAGAGGTCTAGAAACAACACTCATGTAGCCATTCCCCACTCCCGAACAAGTCAGGAGACTCCCAGTAGCACTGGGCTGCCGTGCTTTCTTCAGCTTAAGGAACAAAAGACACACTGTATGGCTACAGATTACAGATAAATACACGGTGAGGAACAAGGCAGAGGCAGGCTGGGGGCATGTTCTACAGCTGCCTTCTCTGATCCCCAAGGCATCCTCTTCCACCCCTTTGCCCCACCACAGGCCAAGCAGAGGGGTGGAGGGCTCAGTCAGTACCCTACCCCACTGCTTCTTCTCAGAGCCAAGAGTTGTAAAAAGTTACAGGGAATTGCTCAGTTATGACTGAGCCCCTATCCTTTACCTTGAGAGCAAGGGAAAAGACTGCGTGAGTTTCACTGACTTTCCTGGCCTCAGAAACGTGCTGGGCTAGGGAGATGGGAAAGACAGGCAGCCTGCCAGCCCCACTTGCTGCCCTGGGTTTCCATCTCTTCAGTGATACAGAAATCACACTTTTCAGTTAAGAGGAGGAAGGAGTTAGATCTAGCAAATAAATATTATTTCAATATAGCACCAAATAAATTAGGTAACATCATTAGAGGTGGGGGAAGGGGTCTCTGCTGTCCGCTCTAACCCAGGAAATGGTGAAAGGGACAGCAAGGGTGTGAAGGAGGCTTTGAATCTAAAGGACAACTCTAGATTCAGGATTGGGAAGAGCTCTGCTCCCATCCCCTACTCTTGCCAGAAAGTGTCCCTAGCTGAGGAAGTCTTGACCAAAACGCTGGGCAAGATGGCCAGAGAGGAGTGAGGGAGGCTTGGAAGCTCTGCTCGAGCGACACCTCAGACTCCTCTCTCTCAGCTGTTCCTTCAACACCCTGCTTCTCTTATCAGTTCTGGGAACATCAGAGTTTGAAGATTTCATCTTCCTGATCCCGCAAACTCTGGGTTCGAGAGGTGCGGGTCAGTGGCACAGGCCCGAGGACTGCTCGCTGCTGCATCCTAGGGGAGCTGAGGTGGAGACCCGCACCCTCCTCAGGTAACCTGCAGGCAAGCAAAGGAGGAAAGAGCCACAGTGAGGCAAGCACCTGAGAATGGACCACGTGAAAAGGTGCAGGGGAGTTGCCTTCTTTTGTTTCATGAGGTGGATGGAGTCTCAATGTCTCCTGGGAAACTGTCTGTCCTAACACTGCTGTGCGGTTCGTACGTTAGCGAGAACCATGAGAGCACAGAATCCACCGAACCATATTTTCCCACTGCCTCCGCCGTTCCAGGTGCCACCTGCTCTGCTCATGGTCTTGGGAAATACGGGGAGAAAGGTAGCCTCTGACTTCTTCGTGCACCTTGGTTTGTGATTCGATAAAAGGAAGGGGTCTGTGTAAGGACTGACAGGGACAGCGGGAGACTCACCCACTTTCCCCTTTCCTCAGCTTCTGGGCAGCAGCCTTCTTGGACAGACTGATCTGTGAGTCGAGTTTCTTAAGGAAATCAGAGGCAGAAAGGTCATGGGTGGATGTGGGGGTTCCCTGGTGAGGTGTGAGGGCTTCGCCATCGGCCTGGCCTGAACCTGACTCTTGACTCCTCCTCTTCGATGAATGCGAACCAGCACCATCCTTACTTGGTCGTACCTCTCCCTCTCCATCATTTTCCTCCTCAGAATCCAAACCATTAAATAGGTCTCTGGGCTCTGTCAGGATGGGGATGTAGAGAGTTTTCTTCAGGAAGATGGAGTCGTTAGTATAAAGGCGGTTTGTACGCTTAATCTGTTCCATCTTTAAAAAAAAAAAAAAACACCCAAAATTAATGACTGACAGTAAAATCCACCAATCTTTTACAGCATCTCAAGCTTTTTATCTTCTTTACTGTGTAGGCCAGGCTAATTTCAAAACAAGCCTTGCTTAAGCTCTTAGACTTGTATTATTGGTGTGTGTGGTGGGGACATGTGCATTTGAGTGGAGCCCAGACGCTGCTGCACCATGTTTTACGCTGGTTTACCAACTGAGCTGTCTTCGTAGGCCACCAACTCAAACTTTTTTTGTTTTTTTTTTCAAGACAGGGTTTCTCTGTATTGTTTTGGAGGCTGTCCTGGAACTTACTCTGTAGACCAGGCTGGCCTCGAACTCACAGAGATCCACCTGCCTCTGCCTCCTGAGTGCTGGGATTAAAGGCGTGTGCCACCACTACCGGGCCTTTGTAAGTATTTGTACAATTTTATTTGGCTCCATAACAGACTAGCTAAACGATAAAGGGCTGATGTTAATCTTGTTTTATAGTTTTCATATTTTCTAGTCTTGGGTCACCTTCACATTTAAAAAAAAAATTATTGAGGGAGAAAATAAAAAGAAAAACAACCTACACCCTTTCGTTCATTTAAAAGCTACCAAAACAGGAGTAGTGGCATCAGCATACAATCCTAGTATTTAAAGTCCTAATAATTAAAGCTGAGGGGCTGGACACTTGGTTTAGTGGTTAAGAGCACTTGCTGCTCTTGCAATTCCCAGCACCCACACAATGGTTCACAACCATCTGTAACTCTAGTTCCTGGTGACCCAATGCCCTTTCCAACTTCTGTGGGCACCAGGCACCCCCATGGCACACAGACATAAATGAAAGTAAAATACTAAAAATAAACTTAAAAGAAAATAATGAAGGTGAGCCAGGGATGGTAGTACACATTTTTCTCCTCTGGTTTTTTGAGACAGGGTTTCTCTGTGTAGCTCTGGATGTTCTAGAACTTGCTGTATAGACCAGGCTGGCTTTGAACTCAGAGATCCTCCTGCCTCAACCACCCGAGTACTGGGCTCAAAGGCATGCACATTTTTAATTTCAGCACTTGAAAACCAGAGGCAGGTAGATCTCTGAGTATGAAGCCAAGCAAGCCACATAGTGAGACCCTAGCTAATAATAAAATAAATAAATCTGAATTGGACTATAGTTGTAGCACAATGGTACAGTGCTTGCCTAGCATGTGCAAAGTCCTAGATTAGGTCCCTAGCAGACCTCCAACAATTAATAGATAAATTCTCACATGTTCTCATATGCTTGCCCACTAACACCACATGTCATATTTCTTTCTTTCTTTGTTTTTTTTTTGTTTGTTTGTTTTTGTTTGTTTGTTTTTCGAGACAGAGTTTCTCTGTGCAGCTTTGGAGCCTATCCTGGCACTCGCTCTGGAGACCAGGCTGGCCTCGAACTCACAGAGATCCGCCTGCCTTTGCTTCCCGAGTGCTGGAATTAAAGGCGTGCGCCACCAACGCCTGGCTCACACTTAATATTTCTCATCAGGGTTGATTGTTCAGTCTAACTGCTCTTCCTCTTTCATGTCCACATATCTTTCTCTTGACATCTAGAAGAATGAATCTGACTAACCCTCTAGCTGGCTAGCAACTTCCTATGGCTCCTCACTAGCCCCAGCAGAAAGTGTCTAGCTTTCTCTCTTCTGCATTCTACCACTTCAACTCACCCTTGGTCTGGAATCCCTTTGCCTAGGCATCCTAACGGCTGAGATTATAGGTCTGAGCCACCAAGCCTGGCTTTCAGACATTTTTTTTTTTCCTGATTCCAGACAGGGTTTCTCTATGTAACAGCCTGTTCTGAAACTCACTCTATAGACCAGGCTGGCCTCAAACCCACAGAGATCCACCTGCCTCTGCCTGCAACACTACACCAGCAGCTTTCAGAAAACTTTTAAACTTCCATGTCATTGAGACTATGCCAGAACTTAGAGACATAAAGTTGAAAGGAAACTTTCTTCTCTTAAAGAGCCTGTAGACTGCAGGAAGACAAGGAGACAAACATCTGGGCTCACAGACTGCAGAAGGGAACACAGAGGGAAAAGTTCCCAAGTCTTCAAGGCCCATATGACAGTACTCCTAAAACCCACGCCCCCGAGTGCCTTGTTCACACTCCTCATCTCAGCACTCAAGATAAAAGAGCACTTTAAGTTCCAGGCCAGTTTAGGCTACACAGTGACATACTGACTAGAAAATCCACCCTGCTGTCAGTGGTGACACACACCTTTAATCCCAGCACTCAAGAGGCAGGCGGATCTCTGTGAGTTCGAGGCCAGCCTGGTCTACAGAGGAGTTCCAGGGCAGGCTCCAAAGACAGAGAAATCCTGTCTCAAAAAAACAAAATATAACAAAAAAAAAAAAAGAAAGAAAGAAAAAAAGAAAGAAAGAAAATCCACCCTCCCCACCACACACAAAAATCAACTAATACCCACTCTCAATTCCAAACAAAAATTAACAGCTCCTGATATCCCGCCCCTTGCGAATATTTCTACATAGCCATTCTTCTTCTCTATTCTCATGAGAATTTAAATTACTTGAGCACACCAATACACATTTATGCTTTATCTCCAGGAAGGGTTACTATAATGCTTTAAGTACAGCAAGCAGGGAAATTTGTCTAAATTCAACATTTGTTTGTATGTGGTAAAAAGGATAGAGAGGGGGAGGCTACAACTTTAATTTTTATGCCCATCAAACTTCTCCTAGGTGTGACCAGAAATGTTTGATGTATATAGAGGGTACTTGTTTTGTGCCTCGCCGGAAAGAAAGCACAGAGTGGAAAGAACTAGAAACAGGCACTTTAGGAACTCTACTAACACAGTTCTTTCTGACTTGTGTAAATGTTTACTCACTTTTAGTTTTTTTGTTCGTGGCTAATAGTAGGGGACTTAGAGTCAGACAGACCTATCTGAAACCTTACTCTGACACTCAAAGTTATTTGACCTTGATCAAACTGGTTATCCGTCTTACGTCTCACGGTGAGTCTCACGGTGAGTCTCACGGTGAGTCTCACGGTGAGTCTCACGGTGAGTCTCACGGTGAGTCTCTCTCACGGTGAAGTCTCACGGTGAGTCTCACGGTGATAGGGGCACAAGATCCAAATAGGTTAATGGCTATAAACCACACCCCAACCACCACCCTATCCCGGCATCCAACCCAATCCAAGGAGCTGCTCCTCCCACTGGGATAGTAGGGCAGGTCTGTGAGTGTGGATAGTGCTACCCTGAGAGGTGTAAACAAAATAAGACAAAGCAGAGACCACAATATAATTAATATAACATCAGGGAAGGCCGCTTAGCAGACCACCCAGTTTCTCCTGGGCACTAAATCTCTCCTGAATGGTCACCACACCACAATCCTTGGAAGACTCACCGTCACCCCGTATTTGAGTGCTAGTCCAGCCAGGGTGTCTCCAGGCTCCAACTGATGCTCCAAGCGTCTTTCCCTCACCGGGGAGCACGATGATTGTACCAGGCTTCCATAAGAACGAGCACGGCTCCCATGCAGCAGCCCTGACCCCCCAAGTGGGGGCTGTCTAGAGGGAGAAGCCATCTCAAGATGCCAAGATCTAGGGTCACAACTGAGGAAAGCTAAGTGACCAACAGTGAGGGCCGAACCCCAGGAATGGATAGATATTCTAGGAATTCCTTCTCACTTCTCTCTTTAGTGTCCCCGCTCTCGAGAGACTACATCAATGCTCCTCTTGCTGCTGCTTACCGAGCTTGGGGTCACAGTCCGTACCCTAAGAAGGCTGCCAGGCCGGTTACATTTCTCCTTCCTCAAGACCCTTGCCCATAAATATCTTCCCTGAGTGGTCGGTCGCCGACCCCTTCGACTTTCGACGCCCTCTCCCCAACTCCTTGCAAGCCTGATCTCTGACCTTTGAACCCTAGACACCCTCATCAACACTCTCCCCTCAGTGTGTCCCCACGTCCCGCAGCCGGGCCGCCGGGAGCCCCCACATCCTCTCTGCTCCAAATCAGGCCCACCCCAGGTAGATCGTGGCTGTGGACGGTGAGCCTGGGGACTGAGAGAGTTTGCAGTACACGGTCCACTGAGATCCCCGAAGCCTCGCTCCACGCCAGGAGGGTCCCACCCTGAAACTCCGGCTCCACGTACAGGTTCTTGGTCTCCAAACACCTGGGTCCTTCGCGATGTGAGTGCCTGTACTCAGGTGAGCGGTGAGGTCTTTTAAAAACAACAAAAAAAAGAAAATAACTAAAAGACTTCATTTCCCAAAAGGCAAAGCGTTCTCAGGGCATCATAGGAAATGCAGGCACCCTCAGGGCTCTGGAGGCGGGTCTTCCGGCTCGCGCGGTGCATGCGTGGAAACGCATCCCCGGAAGTAAAGACTTAATCAGAAAAAGACCGGAAGCAGGGAAGGCGATAACCTACTCTTCCTACGGTGGCCCGAAGGAGAGGCAAAGTAGGCGTAGGAGAATTTATTATTTCTAAGACTCACAGTCGTGATGTCTTTCAAGAGGGAAGGTGACGACTGGAGTCAGCTCAATGTGCTCAAAGTAAGCCCTAGTGAGAGTCTACCCACGAGCAGTGGTGGCGCACGCTTTGAATCCCAGCACTTGCGAGGCAAAAGCCGGTGTGTCCGTGTTGCGTTTGAGGTTCGAGGCCAGCCTGGTCCACACAGCCAGCTCTAGAACAGTCAAGGCTACACGAAGAAACCCTGTCTCGAAAAATCAAAGAACTAGAGAGAGGGAGAGCCCAGCTTCAGTCGCGCTTTGCATTGTTTTGTTGCTCTGGCGACATCTGTGGGAGGGGGTTTCGGGGGCCAGAACTGAGTGATGCCTCCTCCTTCTTACCCTATGGTCTGCTCCATTTGACTCTTTATCCCTGTTATTTCTTTTCATCCATCCCTCATATTCGTTTCTCCTGTCCTGCTCTCTGCAGAAACGAAGAGTTGGAGACTTGCTGGCCAGTTACATCCCAGAGGATGAGGCGCTAATGCTGCGGGATGGACGGTGAGAGCAGAGTGGATCAAGCCTGGGGATTTGCTATCAGAGGCTCAACAGACTTTGGTTTCTAAGGAGATCAGGAGTGTAATAGATCCTTTGGTTGGAAGTGAAGATTGGAAGAGGTGGCGATCGGGAGACCTGGGCGTTGGTGGAGTGCTTTGACAGGCATAGCCCCTAAGTAGGAACACCCCAACCACCGGCTCTCCAACACATACGGGTTTGCCATTCACTTCTCTTTTCCCTAGCTTTGCTTGCGCTATCTGCCCCCATCGACCAGTCCTGGACACGCTGGCCATGCTGACTGCCCACCGTGCAGGCAAGAAGCACCTATCCAGTAAGTACAGGAGAAGGCGGGGAGTGGAGGAATGATAGAGAATACACTCTGAACATTTTGTCAGTCTACTTGATGTTGTGCTTGCTTTCCTTTTCAGGTTTGAAGCTCTTCTATGGCAAAAAGCAATCAGGCAAGAAAACAGAGCAAAAACCAAGACAGCAAAATGAATTGAAGACAGAAAGCAAAGCCGAGGTGAGAGATCTGGTCAGGTGTTGTTCAGGCAGGGCTGTACTGCATGCAACAGGACTTTTGCCTAACATCTCCAACTGTGTCTTCTTCTCTTGATAACCAGGCACCTTTGCTAACCCAGACTCGATTAATCACCCAGAGTGCTCTGCACAGAGCTCCTCACTATAGCAGTTGCTGCCGGAGGAAGCACAGGTCTGTAGAGGGGGAAATCCGGAAGTGGGAAAGGGTAGAAGGAAATAGATGGTTCTGAAGTTACTGCTCTCCAAACTGTACTCTGAGAAACACTAATCTTGTGGAGATGTTGTTTAAAGAAAAATGATAGTTTGTGGTTTGTTTTGTTTTTGTTTTTTGTTTTGGTTTTTCAAGACAAGAGTTTCTCTCTGTAGCTTTGGAGCCTATCCTGGCACTTGCTCTGGTGACCAGGCTGGCCTCGAACTCACAGAGATCCCCCTGCCTCTGCCTCCTGAGTACTGCAATTAAAGGCGTGGGACACCATCGCCTGGTGATAGTTTGTGATTTTAAAATAAATTTTAGCCGGGTGTTGGTGGCTCACACTTTAATCCCAGCACTCCGGAGACAAGGCAAGTAGATCTCTGATCTATAGAGTGAGTTCCAGGACAGCCAAGTCTACACCAAACAAACAAAAACCCTGCCTTGAAAAACAAAATAATGCACACACACACAAAAAAATAGTAACATTATTGCTGGATGGTGGCACACGCCTTTAATCCTGGCACTCCAGAAGCAAGGCCAGTGGGTCTCTGAGTTCCAGGCCAGCCGGGGCTACAGAGGAAAAAAAAAAAAAAGTAACATAATCTGGGCATAGTGGTACACTTTTTTGTTTGTTATTGAGAGGGGATCTCCCTTTGTAGCCCTGGCTGTCCTGGAACCCTGCTATTTAGACCAGGGTGGCCTCAAACTTACAGAGATCTGCCTTTCTCTGCCCCTTAAGTGCTGCAGGTACTAAAAGTGTGTACCACCATACCTGGTTATGGAAAATCTTGAGGCAAAAGCGTAGAACTATTAAGCTGGCTTTTCTCAAGTTCCTAATTCCAAAATCTTTCATATGTAAAATATTTAAGATCTTATGGAACTCAAGCTGGGTGTGGTGGTATACACTTTTAATCCCAGTACTTAGGAGGCAGAGGCAAGTGGATCTCTGTAAATTTAAGGACAGCCTCATCTACCTAGTAAATTCCAGGTCCATCATATGTACTCTATCTCCAAAAAAGCAAACAAAAAAACCTCAGGAACTAGCCAGGCAGTGGTGGCTCACGCCTTTAGTCCCAGCACTCTGGGAGGCAGAGGTAGGCAGATCTCTGTGAGTTCTAAACCAGCCTGATCTACAAGAGCTAGTTCCAACAGCCTCCAAAGCCACAGAGAAACCTTGTCTCAAAAAACCGAGGAAAAGAAAAAAAAAAAAAACAAAAAACTCAGGAACTCAGTTTAGGAAACACTGCTCTTCAGGCTTGGGAGGCACGGGGAAGCTGCTACTTTCCTTCTGTGCATTTAACAGGCTTGGTTTCTTTTCTCCCCAGACCAGAGGCTCCTGCTCCCTCTGTCTCCAGTTCTCCTTTGCCTGCCCCAGAGGTTGGACTCCAGAGTGCAAAGATCAGTAGGGAACCTGAGACTAAGGCAGGATCACATGCCAAAGAGTCATCAGATCTCCTGGCCTCTGCACCCATAAGCCCCACAAAACGACGAGTCCTGAACCATTACCTTACCCTCCGAAGGTTAGTCTGCCGAATCACATTCCTTGGGTTTCTTTCATTTTCCCAACCTGACGTTTTTCAAACCCACCCAATTGCTTTTATCTTGTCACCAGTAACTTTTTAAAAAATAAAATTACAGCCGGGCGTTGGTGGCGCAAGCCTTTAATCCCAGCACTCAGGAGGCAGAGGCAGGCGGATCTCTGTGAGTTGGGGGCCAACCTGGTCTCCAGAGCGGGTGCCAGGATAGGCTCCAAAGCCACAGAGAAAACCCTGTGTCGAAAAACCAGAAAAAAAAAATTAAATTACATTTATTTACTTATTTATGTAGGGGCATACTTGTGTTAAGTCAGAGGACAACTTATAGGGGTTGGTCCTTTCTTTATACCCTGTGGCTCCCGGGGATGGAACCCAGTACCACAAACCTTTTTCATAAAACTCTTCCCTGGCCGGGGGGTGGTGGCGGCGCACACCTTTAGTCCCAGCACTCCGGAGGCAGAGGCAGGTGGATCTC